GAGATCTCATCATTGGACACAGTGATAGGGTCAGAGGCTGTGGGAGATGAGTTCCGGCGGCGGACCTCATCTTCCACTGTCTGGATGTGAGAGGGGTCGGTGAGTTGAGAGCCAGCAGAGCATTGTGCGGCAATGCTTTCTGCAAAGCACTCAGCCTTTTCCTCGTCCTCGAAGGCAACCGTACCGTCGGGACGGGAGAGAGGGGGAGTGTGGGTGATAGCGTCTATGCGGAGGGCTCTTACCATCTGATAGTACGCTGTATGAGAGGGAGTACTCATACAGCGTAATATCAGATGGTAAGAGCCCTCCGCATAGACGCTATACTCCCTCTCATACAGCGTACTATCAGATGGTAAGAGCCCTCCGCATAGACGCTATCACCCACACTCCCCCTCATGGAGCTCATGGAGAATATCTATTCTCCATGAGCTTACTTACTCTTTTCGAGGTCTCGAAGTTCAGAGAGGCGGAAACGGACTTCTCGTTGAAGACGATTGGCCGTACGCCTATATTCGGGGGTGGGATAGATTGCTGCTCTCCGGAAAGCAGCTCTCTTGGCTTTCAGCAGGTTGCTAATATGTATGAGCCTTTCTAAAATTATAATCAAAGCGAAGAGTTATTTTTGATTAATCAATAAATCATGTACTTTTATTTATTATTTTAAAGCAAAATAATCATATTTCCTAATATTGTCTGAGATCGATTCACGGGATCGATCCATTATTTAAGATCAGAATCAAAGATTATATTGACTCCTAAAATTCCATAATCAATCTCAGACTGCCATCCATATAGCGCATTGAATGGTCTAACAACGAAAACAAGTGAGTGTTAAGAAGCGCGGCACAGCCCACTGGCACACCCCTGGCGCGTGTACATTTCAAATAGATAGTTTGCATGAACATGAAGTAAGTAGTTGTACTATTTCCCGCTTTTTTTTTCGGAGCAGCAGAAAACATGGTGGCTTGCGTGTACAGTGACCTTGTACGGATGTTGTAGCGATCAAATAATGAAAATTAATTTATTAAAGCCCAAAGACGTATTAATTAAATCCTATCAATCCTATCAAAAGTCTACTGATGAAAGAAGCCCTCCCCCATAGACAGCCTTATAGGATAGGATTTTGACACAGTTGCCCCGCTTGGCAGGCTGGGTGGCTACTAGTTTTATATCATTTTTATGTCATTTTCTGATATTATCAAGAAATTGCCGCTGCCTATCTCCTGTTTTAGTTTCCCTCTGTCGCCTTTTACGACACCCACGGAATGATATGGGTAGGGCCCTTTCATTCAAGTAGATTCTCGTACGCCGCCACTATACGGGAGCTTGTGTATGCTATTATTATTATATTTTATATAAAACAAGAAATAAGTAAATACATTTAGCAAATAAAGTAACAAAATTTCAGAATAAATTAAGTCAAAACTTTCACAATAATGTACAATTTTTTTTTCATTTATTTATGATTTAACACGTTCCCTATCCCAGAACAAAAGTTAAAAAATTAAAAAATTATTCGTACGTCCATCTACAATTTGGTGATAACATGACAATAAATAAATAAGGGTTTTTGAGTGAGATTGAGAGGTTCTATGGGCAGCTGTACACGTCATCGTTGGAGCCGCACGCAAGTGTGAGTAACGATCCAAGAGCGAGTCTTATCCGACATTATTCCGATGATATCCCGGACGTCAGTCTGAGCGAGATTAGAATGGCTCTCCAGCACCTTAAAAACGGCAAGGCCCCAGGCGAGGATGGAATTACAGCGGAGCTTCTGAAAGCGGGTGGAAAACCGGTACTTGAAGTCCTTCAGAAGCTCTTTAATTCCGTCCTCCATGGTGGCATTACACCGGAGGCGTGGAGCAGAAGTGCGGTGGTCTTGTTCTTCAAGAAAGGCGACAACGCTCTCTTGAAGAACTACAGACCGATTTCCCTTCTGAGCCGCGTCTACGTGCTGTTTTCGAGAGTCATTACGAATCGTCTCGCGCGCAGACATGACGACTTCCAGCCTCCCGAACAAGCCGGTTTCCGAAAGGGCTTTAGCAACATAGACCACATACATACCCTTTGGCAAATTGTACAGAAGTCCGAAGAGTACAATTTGCCACTATGTCTGGCGTATGTGGACTATGAGAAAGCCTTTGATTCCGTCGAAATTTGGGCGGTGCTGCAGTCCCTTCAGCGATGCCAAGTTGACTGTCGGTATATCGAAGTGTTGAAGTGCTTGTACAGTAGGGCTACGATGGCTATCCGAGTACAGAACCAGAGAACGAAACCTATCCAATTGCAGAGAGGTGTAAGACAGGGTGACGTCATATCCCCGAAACTCTTTACCGCTGCATTGGAAAATGTTTTCAAGCTTCTGGACTGGAAAGGATACGGTATCAACATCAATGGCGAGTACATCACTCACCTTCGATTTGCCGACGATATAGTCCTTATGGCAGAATCGCTGGAGGACCTAAGCACTATGCTCAATGACCTCAATAGTGTTTCCCAACGGATAGGTCTCAAGATGAACATGGACAAAACAAAGATCATGTTTAATGTCCATGTCACACCTATGCCGGTAGTTGTTGGGAACACTAAGCTCGAAGTTGTTGACGAGTATGTTTACCTGGGACAAATAGTCCGACTAGGTAAGTCCAACTTCGACCGAGAGGTCAATCGACGGATTCAACTCGGTTGGGCAGCGTTCGGGAAATTACGGCACATCTTCTCGTCAGGTATACCTCAAACCTTGAAAACGAGACTGTACACCCAGTGCGTGTTGCTAGTGATGACATACGGAACTGAGACGTGGTCCTTCACTGCTGGCCGGATGAGGAAGCTCAAGGTCGCTCAGCGAGCTATGGAGAGGGCTATGCTCGGAGTTTCTCTGCGTGATAAACTCAGAAATGAGGATATCCGCAGTAGAACTAGAGTGACCGACATAGCCCAACGGATTAGTAAGCTGAAGTGGCAATGGGCCGGCCATATAGCTCGAAGAACCGACAACCGATGGGGAAGAAAGGTTCTCGAGTGGCAGCCTCGTACCGGCAGGCGAAGTGTAGGGCGTCCCCCCACTAGATGGAGTGACGACCTGGTAAGATATGCAGGAAGTCGATGGATGCAGGTGGCTCAGGACCGTGCTTTGTGGCATTCTTTGGGGGAGGCCTATGTTCAGCAGTGGACTTGTGAAGGGCTGTAATGATGATGATGATAATGATTACATTTATGTAAATACGAGCTGAAAAACTTAAAATATTCAGGATAAATCTGAAAAAACTTTATACTCCCTAAGGAGTCATGGACGTGTGATCTAAGAATTGTAATAATAATATAATTATATTAATTAATATAAAACAATTATATTATTTTTTTTTAAACAAAGAAAATTAATATGCATGACTCCTTTTGGTAAAAGTGGAATACAATAACAGGTAAAATAGCATCTATAAACCACAAAGGTTTGTAAATAATGCAGGGGCGTAGCTACCGCCGTATCAGCCGTATCAATGATACGGGGCCCCCGGGCTACAGGGGCCCCGAACGTATGTAAGCAAAAATTCTAAGGACTTCTATGGGACAGTATGTTGGTTTGAATTGTTTGGCTGGCTTAGTTTCTCGGAGTATTAAATGTAGTTAATAACTTATAATCAATATATAATTATTTTTAATCTGTGCTAGAGGTTTTATTCCTTAGTTTATTCCTTTTGTGTAAAATCTTTAACCTTCATTTGGGCCCCCCAACAAATTTTGATACGAGGCCCCTCTAAGGCACACTACTCCACTGAAATAATGCTATAATCTACATCGATATTCCAGGTTTGTTAAAGAAATATAGAATATACGTAATACGAGTATTACATTGTGTTGCAAATAGTTTAAAAATCGGGCTAAATTTATAATTTTGATAACTTAGGTAATTAAATAACTAGAAGCTTGGTGTCAAGATCACTGATAAGTAGGAAGTAATTATGATAGTAATTTTGTTTTAATATTTTCTCGTAATATTATTATTTAGTTGTAACGTTATTATGTAAATTGTTTATTAATCGGGGAACTAAATAAGTAGCCGATCGTTTGCTGTAAATGTTATTAGCACGGGTAGTTTAAAACCAATTTTATGCAACTGATCGCTTGTATACGGAATGTTTAATTTTTTTCAGTAAGTTTTTCGTTAAATAATTGTTCCTTGAGTAAGCTGTACGAGTATTTAAATTGTGAATAAATGCGTAAAATGTTACAATGTTTAAATAATTTAACGTTATCGCTTTGAAATCTTTCCTTAATGTTTGGAGATATTATGTGTTTAAGAATTTTTAGTTGAAGCCTATACATACATACCTGTATATGTGATTAAGAAATGTTTTATATGCCCATAACTACTGAGCCCGTATTGTATAAAATATTCAGCTAATGAGTTTATAAAGCATTAACTTATCTTTGAAGGGTATGCGGTTCTTAAGAATTATAATATAAGTTAAAAATTGCTGTAGATTATTACAAACGTATTCTATATGAATGTTAGTCTCCGTCGAGTATACCAAAACAATTATTTAATTTCTATGTCATTAAGATATTCATCAATAGAATAGTAAGATTTATTAATTAATAATGTTTTTAATGATTTTTGAAGCTTTGTGTATTATTTATTTTCTTTATATCATTGGGTTTTTATTATAGATAGGTATGGATAGGCAAAATATACTTTTTCGCATTTTTACTCACTTTGACTGTTGAACATTTAATCTCAGAGGATACCTTCTATTATTTAAATTTTCGAACAATGATAGGTTTCTATGGACAAACACAGCCGTCTCATAGATAAAAAGACAGGGAAAAGTTAGAATTTGCAGCTCTTTAAAATGTGGTTTACAGCTGTCCGTCCAGTGTAGATTTTCGATTGCTCGAATGCACCTTTTTTGAGCGTTGAATACCTTGTCCCGATCCACTGAGTTTCCCCAAAACATACATACACATAGACGATTTACTAAACAATCTGTTTAAATACTTACCAAAATGATGCGAGGGACTGCACAATCAACAGCATGACCCAGTTGACGGAGATGCTGGCGATGCCGTTGAGTACAGCCGACGAGATGAGCGCAAAGAGCAGTACCCGACGCCGTCCGAACTTGTCTCCCAAGTATCCACCAATAATGGCACCCGTTATTTCACCTATTTAAATCCTATATTATAACGAGCAATTCCTATGTATACGCACTAACCTACAAATGTAATTAGTTTCTCGAAAAAGACTCTAACCAATTGATGAAATTTCGCATCTAGATAATATTGTAATGTATGTGTTGTCCAAGTTCATCTAGATAGGTGTGAGACGTGAGAATTATTTTTCTAAGGTCAAGTTATATTTGGTTACCCAGGAACTGAGGTTTATTTGACTATAAGAACTCTGACGTGATGTACTGCTACCTAGGTGACTAAATAGATAAGTTAGGATTAGGTACATCTGTACTTAATTTATCCATTTATTTATCTAAACAGTGACAGGACAGTGCCCACCTGATGGTAAATGGTGATGCAGCCGAAGATGGTAAAACGCGCAGACTTAGCTTGAAATTTGGCGCAGGTCTTACCTCGGCAACATCCCGCGGGACTCTGGTAATAGGCTTGGGCAAAAAATATCGATACATCAAAATATTGATATTTTCTCATTAAAATATCGATACCTAAAATCGATATTTTTAATCACGATATATAGATATTTATTAAGAGTATCGAATTCGTATCAATTTTAATATATTTTAAAATGTTGTGTTAATGGACAAAACATGAAACAACAAAAGGCTACAAAAAATAGCTACAAAAAAGCATTCATGTATGGTTTTTTTCGTCGTCCAACCGTCAGTAATTAAAATTTTGGGCCTTATCCTTACATTATGCTAATGATGTCGATATATTGATATTTATCCCGCATTATATATCGATACTATTTAAAACTATCGATTCGATATATATCGATATTTTTCCCTTGCCCATCCCTAACTGGTAAGCGAAGTGCGGAGTGCGCATAGATTACTGTATATATACTAGAGAGGAGTGCGGATCGAAAATCACTTAAATAATCGATAATTTTTTTTAATAATTGTAATGAAAAAAACGAACAGGTGGAATTGATTCCAAAATGATATATTTTTTTTATAGAAAAAAGGAGTATTAGTTCTTGTTTAAAATGAAATTTGGTTTTGCCGGCAACGTATTTGCAATTCCCTCCCTGGTGTTGCAGTTGTTCATGGGCGGCGGTAGTCACTTACCATCAGGTGAGCCGCATGCTCGTTTGCCCCCTTTCCTATAAAAAAAAATTTGTAAAGAAACTGCAAATTGTATTGTATATAAAATAAAAAATATAAAAAAATTGTATTGTATCGTAAGTATATTGACCAGATGCATCGTAAGAACAAATAATGTATCTAAACTATATATATATTTTTAGATTCTAAATTTAATAATTTGGCTATCAAAAACCAATTTTAAAACTGACAAAAACAGGAACACGCAGCCTTAACAAAAGTCTATTCACTCTTGCCTTGAATATACGCACATTGTAATCAGGTGGCATATGCTTGGATAAGTTACTGTCTGAAGCCTAAACAAATTAGATTAAAGCGATAAGACAATGACAATCTGCATAGCCAGATATCAATCATAGAAGTAGAAAGGTCTAGCGCTCGCTGGGGAGAGGGGGGGAGGGGGGGAGGGGGGGGAGGGGGGGGGGTAGCACCTATTGAAAATCTATTACTTAAATTAAAAACGTATACGCACCGAATCTTGGCCCCGATGCTATATATCCTTGTTGGGAGGTGGTTGTCCCCAGTTCACACGCGCTTGCAGGGATGATGATAGTGGTCGCGTAACAAACACACATGTATGCGATGTTAATAAAACCAGCCAAAGTCGTCAAAACATAACTGTACGGACCAAAACCTAAAAATAAACGTCACTATAAGTTCTGTTAAGTATTGTGGACTTAAGGAAATCCTGATATCGTTATCATTTGAATTGTAAATTCGATATTACGACGTTTCGAAGTTTGAATTTCATAAGTTTACGAGTTTTCACATAATTTAAACATTTATGTCTATTTTCAATGCGTTATGAATATTATATTAATGCAGTGACAGAATAACAACACTAGCTAAAAAATCATTTATTACTGAAAGTTATAGCCGTTTCTTTACCCATGTAGTTATAGCTTAGTTGAACAAAGAATGGTATCTAAGTTTCATAGATATTTTACCGGCAGACCCCAGAGTAGGCAAAACCTTAACAATATCTTGTGGACCAGAAGAACGATGTTTTTATTAAATTGTTAAAACTAACCGAATATATTTTATATATGTTGAGGTTGTCATTCGACATCTTCGTGATTTGTAGACTGATTATGATTATATTTTTTTTTATAAAAAGTTCATAGATACTTAAGGGATGGTTTAATTATTGACAATTTCCAAACCTAATGGTAGAAAAATTGGAAATAGTAAAAATAAAATAAATATAAATATGAAAAATATGAATTATAATTTAATTTTAATATTTTTTTTTAATTATAAGAATATAATGATTTTTTTTTTATAGGTTCGAGTGACAAACGAGCACACAGTCCACTTGATGGTAAGTCGTTGCTGTGGCCCATAGACATCTACATTTATCCTCATTTGCGAATCAAAACGCAGATGCGTTGTCACCCGTGAGGAATAAGATGAAATGCCTCTTTTCCAGTAAAAAGTGTCTCCGGTTCTCTACACTCACCACACGACACACACCAGTGTTAAACTGCTATTTGACGCTGGTATTCTGTGAGGGCGTGGTCCTTCCCCGGTCGAGCCGACCCATTCGTGCTACAACTATACTACTAATATAGCTGCAGCATGGCTCTACCGCGTAAAACAATTTGTAATTTTTAATTAAATACAAAATTTTTAATTAAAACTACTTTATATTATTCCGACGACATTCTGATTGTTTTCTTAAGCTTGTAATACTCCTTATTGCACTCAAAAGGTTTAAAAATTTGAGTTTTAATAAAAAGTATATAATAATGAAACAGCTTTTGAAATCGGGGCTTTATATCTCCTATATATTGTGTTAACACCGACTTCATAAGTCATTACAGGGATTTTTTTTATTACTATTTTAAAGTGGATTTTTTAATAACGGTTAAAAATTAATTTCTTAAAAAAGCAAAGAATGTTATTTATATTCAAAATACATTTATACAAACCTGCCCAATCCAATGCAGCTTCGAATTGCATTTTACCGTCATTTTGAACTTTTGTATCGACTCTCATTTCTTTGAATTACGTGATTGTAAATACTCGTTTAATTTAATTTCCTTGTTTTATTTATATATATGTACACCATCCCGGACGTTGCAAATTTAAATGTAGAAATTTAGAAAACTCGACATTCGTTATCTTATCATAATATTCGCGATTAGAGATTCTATCCGACGTTTTATCGAATGTAACTTTGTTGACTAAAGCTCGCTTTTCACTATGGGATATAATATGTATTATATTCCGAGATATAAATTATATCCCGCGATTGGCTTTCAACTGTGAGGTATATCTTTTGACCAGTGTGCGTTCGTCATTGGATTACATAGTTTACACCGCACTCGTCGTTAACAAACAAAGCTTGGATAGCCTCGACAGTTTATCAGAGAAAGATGATGCAGAATTCGGTTTATGTGTGTTACTTTTAAGTAAAAACAGGGCGCGTCGATACTGGATATCAAATCATATAAAGTTTAGAGAGGAATATGGTGAATTTAGACCTTTTGATGAATTCTATTAAGAAAAGTTACGAATACAAATTACTATATGCACTACGCAAAAGTTCATTTAGGTAATGACGGACACATAGATTAATGATAAGTCATGTCAGAGCGCGCGATGACTTATCATTAATCTAAGGACAGACACGAAGTTGAGAACGAACGGGGGCGCGGAACGGCGTCCGAGTTCCAGGGGGTGAAATCTATACATATAATAAAACTGTAAATAGCAGACGTCTGTACATTTTATATTTTTGTAATAAAAGTGATTGAGTGGTACTAAAAATAAGTAATTAAATACATTTCTACCATTTTTAGAATTTTCTGTCTGTCTGTCTGTCTGTCTGTCTGTCTGTTTGTTTGTTAACGTATCACGTATAATGTACTAATTTATATCATAAGAATTGTTAAGAAAATTATAAAGTGTATCTTCGGGTTACATTTAGTCTTTATTTGATTAAAATCAGTTCATTCCATCAAAAGTTATGATAAATATTCTCAAGTATGGGTAGGGAAGTATAGGTACGAATTTGCTCAACGGTGGCTTTGTTTGAGTCATCAAGTGCATTTTAAACTAATATCATATCATAAATCATAGTTAAATTATGTAAAATAATGATATAATTATGTATATCTAAAACGCAGTAAACAAAAGTATTAAAGAACGTATTAAATATACAAAAATATATTAACCTTATTAACTAAATCTGAAGCACAATAGTTAACCCATTTCTTCGATAGATGGTGGTGTTGTGAAAATGTAATGCAATTGCAATGTGTTTTTTTCCTGTAGATGAGTTTTCATATTTACTGCTAATCTTTATTATATTACTCGCTGCCCTACTGCGTGTTGACAAACTCAATTTATTCTTTACCGCCGAGTACTCTATGTGGTAAATCAAATTTTAAAAGAGCTATTAACAATTGCGTTGGTTTTGGCGAGAGTCAAACTTTATTTTTTGCTTAATGTGCAGGCACTGATTTATAAGTACTCTTGCGTTTTATATAATGTATCAATCGCGTCAATTAATCTCTTTTATTTTTAGAATTGATGTTAGCAGCGCCATCTCTCTTTAAATATATACATATAATAAAAATGATGATAACATGTTGTCTCTTTCTGTACATTGTATATATATTTTGGTGGCTAAAATCATTATGGGGAACTGAAAATAATTAAATAAGAACATTTTATAATTTTTAGAATTGTCTGTCTGTCTATTTGTCTGTTATTATATGAACGCATCACGTCTAAAGTAAACATCTTTTATTTTCAAAGAAATCGTTAAGAAAATCATAAAGCGTATCTTCGAGTTACATTTAATCTTTGTTTTATTAAAATTGGTTAATTCTATCGAAAGTAATGATTATTATTTTGAAATGTAGGTTCGAATTTGTTCAATGGCGCCATAATATCTCAGAAATAGTAATAAAAAGATTTGTGTGTAAAAAAACGTTCCATAGTAATTATTATCCATAATACTTAAAACATAAAAAGAGATTTAAAAAGGATGTTTTCTCACACAAAGGACGTAATAGATGGAGTTGTACAAATTACAAACTTTTCTGAATTGCTGTGTTGAGATTTTTCGCCGATGAATCGTTTGAGACTTACTGAAGAAATTTGTATCTATCGAAGCCATACAACGGAACCCGACCAAAAATAAAAATTTTGCAACGAAATGTTGTGATATTGTATTTATAATATACGCAAAATCAGTACTGCCATTTTAGCGCTTTGGGAACTAGATTTAGCGCTTTTTTGGAATGTATAGCGCGCATTTCGAAATTTTAGCACCTAGCTTAATCCAGCGTTTTTTGGTGTATTTAGCACACATTTCAATATTTTAGCGACTAGCGGGTTATTAACTCTTTTATAGCAGCACTGTTAGTCCACATTACCGATAATAATAATAATGACCTTTATTATTTTTTCCCACAAATAGTACATTGCAATTTATCTTTTTCAAACATATTTTTTCCACAAAACAAAGAGCATGGGAGACGAGTCCAAACTAGGATACCCTGTGCTATGGATCTCCTGGCTTCCCCTTTAGGATGATCAACTTTATTTTTTTACCGACGACTATAAGCGGGGAAATCCCCTTTATTAAAGTTTTCGTTCATGATTTTGGCAACGCATTTATTTTGCTTTATTCAGTTTCAGTCAGTTGCTTAGAGCACAGCTAAGTTAAAAGTTACTTAGAAGTTATAACACAAAGAAACTGTGTAGCAACCGCAATCAGATGCTGACATCTGAAACTAAGTTGCGAAATACATTGCACTTTAAAACAATGACATTTTTATTGTTCGTACAGTACTAACTACTGTTGACAGCAATTGCCATAAATATAAGTCGATGTCCTGCGAAGTATTGATACATCAAAAAAATATTGCCAGAAAAAAAACTTAATGTTGTTTTCTTTATTATGATTATATAAAAAAACACAAACTTTGTTTGTAGTTAATTTAGCGCGAAATCTAGGGCTTTTTTAAAGCGCTGTTTTCATGAAATCTAGCGCTTTTTGTGTTGTCCTAGAGCTGAATGAGTTTTTTTTTATCTGGCAGCACTGCCCAAAAATCCTCTATTAAGAAGTAACTTTCCTTTCAGTTTTAAGCGCGTTCAGTTCCCAGTTACAGTGAGCGTGTGTTATGCGATGACCGTAAATAAAGCGCAAGGTCAAACTTTACGCGTTGTAGGAGTGTACCTCAGTACTGACTGTTTTGCACATGGCCAACTCTATGTTGCTTTTTCCCGCGTTAGTAGCCCCCGTAACCTTTTTGTGTACACCCCGGCTAAGCCTACTTCTAACGTCGTTTACACAGAAGCTCTATCATAAACGACTTAGAACTTTGATGATAATGATTTATTTAGTTACCACTTATTGATACAGTAATGAAATAAATCGTTTAATATTCTCTTACCTAAACGACAAATTCTTTATGTAAAAACTGTATACGCGAGCTACGCCGCGGGCACAGCTAGTATAATATAAAAATATCGCTCGGTCGATCGAAAAAATATTTATAGTATGAGATATAATATATATTATATCTCACTGTAAACGGTTCCATTAAAAAGTACGGTGAGCGATATTAATTTATATCTCGAGATATAATATATATTACATTATTATATCCCATAGTAAAAAGCGGGCTTTATTGCTTACACTTGCGCGAAAATATAGTAAGTACAATTAACTTAGAGTAGGTGGCGCGTGTATCGTACCGACAAATTTATTTGAAAGGTACCTATATATATTATTCAACTTCAATTAATGGAATAGGTCGATCGGTCGGTCGGTTCAACAGTGGTAGAGCCACGCGGCAGCTTCTGCTGTTGGCAGCATTTCATGGCAGCAAGCGATAGGATTTTTGTAGTAACATCTATTTAATAATTACGGCTAGTGCAAATGACTTATAGATGATACAATGATTAATGAGATGTGACAATGTGATACATATATGAGTGTAAGGTGCTGTATAAATGCATGTCTATGTCTAACAATTATCCTATAGTTCAAGTGTTACAGTGCACGACACATTCATTCACAAGGCACCTCAGACTTAATTGAACGATTAGTCATAGGAGATTTGGCGTATATCTATCGGAACACTTTGCACGTGACGCACATTCACCACCACTTCATTAGCACTGCCACTATCCGCCGGGTGTACATCCTCCCCAGACTGCCGTTGGTCGTGCGAGGAGCTTAGAGGGTCCCGTCAGCGCCGCAGCGCGTAGGCGACACCTCGCTCTTAACCGCTGAACTGCTAAGACACCGCTCACAAGCAACAGTGAGCCGGTGACGATATGTACCCAAGCGCATAGTGGTGTACATCGTGAACTCTTAGTTCACCGCGAGACTGTTCCTTTTACTTCCGCTATTTGCATATTAAGTACACGTTATTTTTGATCTTGCTCGTCTGCTCGTAATTGTGTGTTACGTCCAATGATAGATGTTTTAATTAATTTGTTTAAAATTGACACCTCTGGGGATTCTATGTTTCCGCTGATATTAATTTTATTGATGCAATTATTGTGTGTAAAAATTGTAAAGTCCGTTCCTTTCATGGTACACACAGAGCCAAGATGTAGGATTCCATTACTTCTCAGTTGTTGTGACGACACTGTCTGGGCAGATAATGCGCACTGCGCATTCTTCGCAACACACGAACAGCCAGCTGTTATCGGCATGTAACTTAACACGGCTGTCTCGGAAAATTGTTACTTCTGACGAACAAGGTGATATGCTCGTGCCAATATTAATTAATTTAATGTCGCATGTGGATTATTTAATGCTTATATCGTACACAGGCTTATCTAGGGAGCATAATAATTTTTCTTCAGACAAATGACGGCAAGATAAAAGATCGAATTCTGATAAAAATATAACTGAGTCTCTCCTGACATTGAAGCCAATATAAGGAAAGTTGGAAATAATATTGTAATAATTATTGTTCCGTTTTTATGGTACACCGATAATTTTGTCTAATTCATAGATGTCTGAGATATTAATTTGCTTCTGTAACTGCTCCGTCTGCAATATTTAGGTATTTATATGCCCTTGATAAATATCAGTCACTGTGTCAATTAACGTTTTATGTATGGTATTTATTTTAGTAATAATAATGTGGGATGTTAGAGCCGACAGTGAAAAGTATATGTCATTGTTTGTACTCGTATCTATACAAATTCTATCCGTGTCTAATTTCAAACCATTAATGTGTTGTACAATGAGAGCGAAGCTTTTATTCATGATATATTCATGTCTCTGTAATATTTTTGATTCAGCTCCCATGATGATAGTTTGGTTATGAATCAATTTATGTAAATGATTTTCAGTTTCAGTTTTTCTTAGTAAAGATTACTTGAGGGTTGTTGTAAAGATGTGTCAATATTTACCAAGCCTTATCATAATTATCAGCGGAGATATGAAGGTGCTGAATGAGACGCTCTGCTTTCCCTTTAAGTGTTACATTTTTTGAAACTTGCTAATAAATCCGTTGTTATGGACTGTTTCTGTGTACAAATTGAAGAAAGTAAGCCACTAAGTATATTTTGCCGTGAAAGTTGGTATCTCTATTGTGGGGGTTGAATGCTTTAAATGAAGAGTTAAGGTCAGCTTCTTATTTAATTGCCGTTTGATACAGAGATAGATTTTTTCAGCTTTAGCTGTATTCGTTATTGTACAGTTCGTCCTGGCCCTGGAGGATATTAAATTAGTAAATTTAATTCATCAATAAGTCGCCAGCGTCGGTTTAAGTTTTTAGTTCGACTTCGATTTCCCATTTTTTTGATCATTCTAGTTCATCTATGCGCGGCGAAAGTCTATATAATGCTCGAATATTTGTTCTTTGTTACGACAGTAATTCTTCTACTTCTCCGCAGGGTCCGGTAGCTTTGTCGATCATTGATACCTTCGGCACTTCAAATTATATTTTTGTTTTGTTGCTCGCTCGTTGCCGGATGGTTGCTGGGCTTAGGGGTATTTGTTATAGGGGGATATTAACCGCTTCGTAGGCTCATAGTACTCCTTGATACGGGAAAAGATGTTTTAGCGAAGTATTCATGCTGCCTATCCTTGTAACTTGCGAGAGTTCTGTCATTGGCTTCGAACTCACTCCACAATTCACCTAACGCACGGACCCTCTTCTCAATGTAGTCCCGAGTCTTGCGACTGGAGCTGTCTTTGCTAAAGTTTACGCCGATGCACTCTATCTCGGCGGTATGTTCACTCAGCCGTACCAACAACTTATCCATGATATGTGGAGAGGAGTTGATGGGGCAAAGTAGAAAGTAAATTAAATGGAAAGATCTTACTTGATACTTGACGATTAGCTGAGCGGTAGCTTCCGGGTCAGCCTGTGATACCTCTGCGCTGCTATGTATTGCTGTGCGCTGCTATGTATTGCTCTGCGCTGCTATGTATTAGCTCTGCGCTGCTATGTATAGCTCTGCGCTGCTATGTATTAGCTCTGCGCTGCTATGTATAGCTCTGCGCTGCTATGTATTGCTCTGCGCTGCTATGTATTGCTCTGCGCTGCTATGTATTGCTCTGCGCTGCTATGTATAGCTCTGCGCTGCTATGTATTGCTCTGCGCTGCTATGTATTGCTCTTAGCTCTGAGCTGCTAACAGGTACTAGTGTATTCCTTCATCAAACTCAACTTACATCGAAGTTGAGCTTGATGAAGGAATACACTAGTACCTCACTTCACTGTACTCTTTAATGATATTACTTAATAAAAGATAGTTTGGATATACTTTTAATGATGTAAAATGATTCACACTATGATGACACACAGTCACTACACCTTTCAGTTTCAGTATGATAAAATATTACTTCAATTTGACAATATAAAATGATAGTCAATGAATAATAAACCTAGTTAATAAATTTACTGAACTGTCCACGTCTGGAAACACGCGATTTTCGGCGAAAATTGATACACGCGACACGAGCTCCCACTTTGACCTCCTCGCACGCTAGATCAAAGGTACGAAGTACTGACGAAAAATCCCGCTTGTTCGTGAGCTCGAACGTATAAAAAAATGTAGGGTTTGTCTAAACTTTTAGTATTTAAAAATGATAATTTAATATGATATTGATAATAATAAAATGATAACGACTGCTTGACATGAATGCTTGAAGTGCACTACTCGCCGAGTAGTGGGCGTTAAAGTGCTGTGTAATTAAGACTGCTAAGTAAACAACTTAAATACATATAAGTCATTGTGAAATATTTACGTGTCACCGTACACACATCGCGCCATAACTCCCGATACCATCCACACGATATGGATGCTTGGCCACTGTACGTTTTACTAGGAGTTTTCTTCCACGCACGACTTCCTTGTAGAATCAAATACCACCAGCAATTTTATCGGACTGATACGACTTAGGGACCTTCAAGAAAAGAGCCTAATTCTGAAGTTTTATTGCAAAAAATGGAAAAATAAGACTCAAGCCGCGAAAAACATTTGCATGTGTCAGTAAGAGTAGCACAAAGTTGGTTCAAGCATTTTCAGTCCAGGAATTTTGATGTTTGATGCCATTTTTGAAAAAGTGGAGCAAGATCAGCATATTACTGGTTACAAAATAGCAAACAAGCACGATATTTGGCTACCACACGAGCTCACTGAATGAAACCTAATGAATCATGTACTCATTTGCGATTCTCTATTTCGGAAAAAACTTCTGTACTGGGAAGAACAAACAAGAAAGGTTAGGGAGGGAGTTATTTTTAAATAAAATTAATTTACTTTATACATTTATAATTATTTTATATACAATTTATAATTATTGTTTTATACAATGAGTAGGTACGAAAACATTTAGAATTTAAGTAATATGTACTTGTAGGTATGTAGTACGTAATAGCTCAATGAGGAACACCATAATAGCGATCAGCTCATTCCAAGGGGTTAATCAATAATGTAGGTACTCTTTAGTAATATAATAACACTTACTAAAATATTTTTGCTTAATAAAAATTTTAAGCCCCTATTTTGTCACACTCGTCGGGTGTGAAGTAGCGAAGAAAGGAGGCAGAGACGTAGTGTGGCCACAATATAAGTCATGCCGCACGTTATGCTCCTGATCATGCTCATCGCTCCCTGTTTTGTCGGTTTATTGGGCGCAAGTCAAGATCAAGATTTCTTTTAGTATGTAGAAATACTGAACACTGTACCACGGTAGAGAGTCCAGCAAAATGATTACAAGGCCGCGCGTTACGTATGCGACTTGACTGCTTAAAACCCGAGCGAGCAGATCGCGTTCACACCTCACAGATACGTCAGCAGTTAGCATCAGGAGCTCTGCATCGGAATTTTAGGGAAGGGGACACAATTTGGTATCGTAACTATGGCGCGGGAAGTCTTCGAGAGAGTTCTATACATATACCTGGCAGTACACTTGAGATTGGCTGCGATACCACCATCTGCTGGAGATCTTTATGGCCATTTTCACATACGACACCCACATGAAGAAGTGGGTGGTGGGTTTCTTTACTCCGCTAACGCACTGATTCCTAGATAAATATTTTATTTTGTATTTTAAAATATTTATTGCATTCCCTCAAAAAAGAGATACTAAGGGCGGACTTAATGCCTAGAGGCCTTCTCTACCAGTCAACACCCATGGAATGGTGACAATTTGAATTAGGTGTAGCAACTGAAAGAAAAAAACTGGCCAAGTGCGAGTCGAGCCACGCACAAGTAAAGGTAGGGTTCCGTAGTTGCCCGTCACAATACGTGGGCTTTCTTGCTAATGAGCATAATAAGTGAGTTCGGGGTTTGACCGCAGTAAGGATTAAAAATGGGCCCGAATATGATAGTGGTATCTGAAGGACTTATTATTTTCAAATCAGACTTATGGGGATTGGCATTAAAAACTGTTAAAAAATCTTTCTATTTTGAAAATAATACAAAAAAAAAATGATATTCACATGCCAAGTCCGTACAAAGATGGTCTTAGATGACTATGACGACTTTGTACGGATATTATGAGATTTCCATCTATGTACTGACTCATATCGATATCTCTGGAACCATAACGCCTAGACTTGAAATTTGGTAGGAATGTTTCTTTCTTCGAGTAGACGTCAGCTAAGATTCTACGAAATTTCCCCTGCTAAAATTATTCTATTTAAATTCTTCCGTATGTTATTTGCGTTTACTAATAAATAACGACCACGCTGGGTGTAACTTTCTCATTCATTTCTTTATTTATCAAGTTAGGCCCTTGTAGTAATCACTAACAATGGAAGGTGATAAATTACGGAAGAAGGAAGAAATGTTATATCGAAAATGACAGTGGAAATTATCAGCAGTACCTATTAGGTCAAGGTAAACGTACGAGAGAGTCACAAGGAAGTAGCCCTTATCTAATAGATAAGATTCCTTACCTACTGATTTTCTTATTTTTATTGAAACACGTGGCACATAATCTGTTCTTTTATATCAATATCTTTATTTATTCTCTAAATTATCTTTGTCTATTATATACAGAGATAATCACAGAACCTTGGATAAATCATCGTATTGGATAGAGCCTTTTGGTTTTATAGCGAGTCCGTTTTTTGTCAGTTGTAGCAGGCCTCTGTCACCTGTCACTCTTGCTACCTTCGAAATAATTACCTACAATCGCGAGGCGCCCCCGATAATTGCCTACAATTGGAACGCAGTCGAGGCTAGCGCGTTCTAGAATGAATTGAATTGAATTGAATGTTAAAGTTTTTTAACGCTGTTTACGTAAATAGTTGTTTGTAAATACTTGTTTAAATACTCGTCAAAATAGTTTTTGTTTAGTGGTTAGTATATTTAATTGTAGGATAAAATAGATGAAAAGGATTTAATGTAATTTTGAGAATAATATATATGTATATTATCCATCTACTTCATAAATTATATAGACAAAACGTCGTTCCTTCTATAATTCTTACGGGATGGATGCTTAATGAGGAAACAAAAACATTCAGATATGTAATTTTTTAAGTTATCTACCGAAGGATAATGAAAGGTGAATTTATTTAATTTTTTTGTTAGATAGGTACTTAAAGCGAGAAAAGAATTAAGTAATAATTTAACTACAGAAGTAATACCTAAGTACTTTATTACAAAACTTAATTGAAATTTACTTCACTACTCAAGTACCTACTTACAAACCTATACTTGTCTTTTGTAATTAAAATATTTTAAGTTATAATAACACAAAATACTGAAATTAAAACTTTGTTTAGAAGATTTTTAACTAAGTAGAATGCGATACTAAAGCTAACCTATTTGTTATGAGTCAAGCATCACGATTTGCATGCGTTGGGCATCATAAAACTCACATAGTAGCGGAAATATGGTCGATCATAATCAGAATAGGTACTTTACCTGAGTAACTTACCATTTCGCAATGTGTTTTTTTTAATCTTTATTAACAGCCCTTAGTAACCACGGAAAATCCGTTGTGACGTGGGAAGGAGAAAAGATGCAAAGTAATACGGACACTCGCGCAAAGCGATAAAGTTTTATTTAGCTTGAGTGCGCGATTTATCTGATTAAAAATAATTAAGTAGGCTATTAAAACGTCGAGAAGCAGTCAACATCAAAGGAGTGCAACTTCTGTACGTAGTACTATTATATATGATGTGGTTGTAAGCAATGATTTCAAATAAGTCAATGGTTGTAGGTATAGTTCGGGCAATAAGTTTCTTCGTATTTTGTTTGTATAAAATTGAAGAAAAATCTCTTTGGTTGTACTCTTTGTATCTGGCTGGTTTCAATATTAATACATATAGGAAATTCATAAAAGAAAAAGAAAAAGTAAAAAACACTGAAAAAAAAGCAAGACCGGTATATTAGTAGGTACGATATAGCCGGGGAATTGAGAATCGACCACAAAACAATTTAGACACATTTGACAAAAGTCTGGCTATACAAAAAAGCTCGATATTTGGGTACCAAACGAACACACTGAAAGAAATTTAACAAATCGTGTACTCATTTGCGATCCTCTATTGAAACGTAATGAAACCAAACCATTTATGAAAAGATTGATCACTGGTGATTAAAAGTGTATCACCTACGACAAGAACATGCGAAAAAGATCATGTTCAATGGGTAGTCAAGCTCTACAGACTGTAGCGAAACCCGGATCAACACGCAGTAAGGCGACGCTGTGTTTGGTGGGATTGGAAAGGCATCGTTTATTATGAACTTTTACCGCCGGGTTAGAAAAACTAATGAGACTTAAGCAAGAAATTGAGAAAAAACAGCCGGAATTGATCAACAGGAAAGGAGTGGTGTTTCATCATGATAACGCCAGACCACTCACATCTTTGCCCACTCAGCAAAAATTGCGAGAGTTTGGCTGGGAAGTTTTAATGCATCCACACTATATAGTAATGATCTTGCCCCCTCAGAATTATTTGGGTAATGTTAGGTTAACATCAAGAGAGGACTGTCAAAATATTTAATATTTGTCACGGTCACATGTTTATGATCAAAAATCCAAAGATTTCTATAGCAAATGGATTATGTCAGCTACAAGATGGCAACTAGTTATCGAATAAAATGGCACATATATATTATAATTAAATGTAATTAAAGTTTTAAAAAAATGTCTTGAATTTTTATATAAAATACGAAGAAACTAATAAACTAAACTAATAAAACTAATATGTATGTGCATTGTGCACGACTAAAAACGTCACTACGTTATCTATATTACCGATCGAAAATTATCCGTACATAAAATCATAAATAGCTTTAATAAGAATAAGGATGTTCATACTTTAAACACTAGGAACAAACTTAAGCCAGTAATGCCAGTTACTAGACTCCACAGAGTCAGTAATTCATTTATGGGGCAATGTATACATACGCTTTTACAACAAAATCGAAGAACATGTTCAAGTTTGTCAATAAACATGTTTAAAAGTTTTATTAAAGAAAAAATGTACAAAAAGGGTTATTTAAAATATCAAGGAATACATGAATGAAAATAACCCCTGTGATTAGGTGATCGCCACCATGCTGGTTTTATGAAAATTCATTTAAAATTGTATAAACAAAAATCTTGTTAAGTGAAATATATTTTAAAAAAAAGTCCCGTTGGGTTTCTTGCTGGTTCTTTCCAAGACAGAAGTATTTTCCGAACCAGTGGCA